CTCCTCCCTAACTCCCTCCCTGTATCTTCTGATCCGTGCCTCCTTTCTCCGCTGCTGAAATAGAACAGCGTCCCATTGTGTGCTTCACAGAGCACGTAGTTCTGTTGGTGTGTGTGGTGAGCTCAAGCTTGATCATAAAGATTTGGCTTTGGTTTCGCTCTATGTCGTCCCTGACCTCTCTTTTGTTGTGATTTGTGAGATTTTGGATACTTTAGATGCTAAGCCTGCTTTAGTCATCTTAACTGCTACTTTATTTCTCGGGATGCTATGAAGCAGCACAACAACAGCTGCAGGTGGAGGAGGTGTGTATCAACCACTGAGCTCAGTGAAAAAAACACGAAATGGCAATGTCACCCCGGATGATGAGTTTAGTTACAGCGCAGCAAGGTACATATTTGATTCACCACCTATAACAATGCGTTGTTAATCCTGTCTGAATGGGGCTTTAGATGAGGAGAATGATGCTGCTCTCATATCTGTCCATTTAATACAATGTTAGCTTTACTTAGCACTGGAAACATGAGGGACACAGCTAGCTGGGTCTCTGCAAAGGTGACTAAATCCTACTAGCAGCACCTCTAACGCTTACTGATTAACATGTTACAGCGTGTTTGTGTAATCCTTGTAAAAACCAGAAGTAAAAATCACAATCCTCTGTTTCATGTTGTTTTTTTTGATGGACTATTTCTTAACTCCGAGCAGTCAACAGACCACCAGCAGGGACTCCAGCAAGTCACTGATGGGTTTTGCCGATTTCTGTCACCTTTTGGACGGAGCCAGGCTGTTCAGTCTTTGCAGTTTGCATAAAAACACGATATAATTGCAGCTATTTACTTATATTTAATTCCTGTGAGTGTGATACTTCTATATTATATCATAGGATTATCAATACTGATGCACTAGGGCGTAAGCAGCATTTTAGTGTTATATTTGACTAAAGTGTATTCTTAGTTACTGAACCTCGGCATGTTGGTTAGCTACATAAGGCACACGGTGGCCCTTCCCTTACTGCCAGTCATTATTCATGCTGATGAACTCGGTCTGCCCCAGTTCCCTGGTAGAGCGTTACCCAGGAGCAGATGGAGGAATCAAAGGCCACATCACACAGACACACACACACGGGAACCAGCTTTACATTATTTACAAACTGCCCAGTGAGCTCATCATTTATGGAGCGATTTTGCGAACAATGCAGTTAACAACAACATATGAATATATAAACACACTCAATCACATGTCAGCCTTATCCAGCAACAGACAGCAGATTCAATATATTTGTTCTTTCTTTGGTTTCTGTACATTTATGGCTAACGTGTGTGATTCCTTCACTCGTTCATCATAATTCAAGCACAACTTTTCAATCAACAGCGATTGAATAAGATAAAGTTATAAGAAGCACTAAAGACTCTCGTCACATAGTTCTCCAGAGATTGCGTCGCCTCTTGACTCTGTGTCTCCAGTCTGTTGTTTGCGTCGCTCTAAGAACACATTAAAATGCTGTTTCCTATGATGCTGCAGGGGACTTGCATATTAATAATAGAATGGGAATTCTATATTACCGCCCAGCGTCTATGGCTCTTACCACCATGTAATCATCATATGAAGACATGCACGTCTTGTGACAGCGCTGGCTCAGGGATGTGACGGAGCGTCGGCTTGGCTCTTTTGGATGAGTGCTCCGTCTGTGTGGTGGAGCTTACAGGCAAGAGGTTGTGTGTGGGTTGGAGAGAGGTAAGGTGCACGAGACGGGGAACAGGAGGAAACACACGATGAAGCGAACAAAGAACAAACAAAACATCAAATGAGATGTGACAGAAACCAGAGAAGTGTCGATTTAAGAGCCGAGGGTTTGACAGTGAGAACAATGAAGAGTGACAGGAAGAGAGGATTGGGGCCACATTGAGCTAAACTGGGTTTCTGTGTGTTTCTGGGTATGTTTGGCCCCAAACATGTTTCATAAGGGTGGCCATGGGGCAACTAAAAATCTATAATAATAATAATAACAACAATAATAGGCCTTATTGATGTTATCCTATGTGATCAGGTTTAATCGTACATCTTTCACAATGACTGACACGTATAATGTCCAGAGCATAACATCATCTAATGCACTTGGAAATGATGGGTTCTGTATACGTTTACCCCTCTTTTGACTACAATGTCATCAACAGTTATTGTGCTGTGACCTGTGCTGTTACGTGGAGTTATACGCCTGACCTGTTCTCTGCTGAGTTATTTCTACAGTTGGTGTTTATTCAAATCAAATAACCAATGTCACCGTGATGGTCAGTGATGTTGCCAGGTAACAAGCAGAGGCTCAGGGAGTCATTGCACCAGGCCAGGATCTAGTGCAGCTCTTACTCGTCAGTCTCTCTGCTGAGCGAAGCTGCTGCTGCCTCATGGTTAACAGACAGATGTGGAAGAGGATTGATCTTCTAACTCTCAGCAGGAAGGAAAAGGGGCCTATTTCCAAAAATGAATTGAACTCAGAGACACATTGTTGTGATCAGAATGGGAGGAAGAGGAAGGAGCAGCTCGGAAGAAAAAGCGGCAAAAATGTGCAAGAGCATCTCAACACTGAGATTAAATGTCTTGTTGAATGAAAGAAAGGACTGAGGGCCAAAGAAGTTGCTCTTTCAAAGACAAATAGTCTCAGTTGGTTGGTTGCTGCAAAAACAGTTTTAACTTTAGAGGAAGAATTGTGTAGTGAGCACAAAGTGTGTGCATGTGCATCAGCATCAGCATCACCTTTAACACAAACAAAACTAAAAATCCTGAAAAAACGATTAATAACAACTTCACTTTCTCTCTTTCACTGTTGATTTTAAAATAAATAAAACCACATCCTTGCTTTCTTTCTGTCTGCAAACATTCTCTTCACCTTCGCCGTGCCAGAACACACACACAGGCGCACACACTCACCACGTCAATGATCTGTAGCAGCGTGAGGCCGAGTTCCACAACGATGGGTGCAGAGTCATTGTGGACGGGTCTTTCCAGACGACTGTAGTTCACCATCAGGTCGTGGTACAGCTTCCTTTGGTACACACCACCATCGCAACCTGGAGCAAGAAGAGGATTGAATATGAAAGTGGACGGAAAGAGTGAGAGGATGAAAGAGAGGAAGGAGGTAAAAGAGAGAAGATGGGTTTTACAGGAGGAGAGGAGGGAGGAAAAGAACAATAGCTCGTGGAATTACAGGAGTAAAGGGAAGAGTAACAGGTGCGAGGGGAGAAAATGGACGAATGTCTTGGTAAGTATAAAATAAGACATCGGAGCAGTGGTGGAAGGAACTGACACATTTAAGTTCTACTGTTTACGTCTCTAACAGACACTCAATTAGCCCAAACACTTAAGATATACTCCCACTTATTAATGCCTGTGATCTAATCAACACGACATTCTTCATGCGGCTCCAAATCCCTCAAGAAATCCTGATTATGTCACAACATGCTGAACGTAATGAGCTCATTATCTACTCAGTGAACTGTAACTGTGCTTTCTTTCCGTCTCTATTAGACCACATCAGGTGTACACTCAACATCAGGTTTACACTCAACAACCAAGTGTCCGTCTTGAACAGGAAGGAATATTACAGCGCAGTCCCTGAAGCAAAGGAAAACCCAGTCGTGTCTTCTTTTGGGCACAACACTGCTCCATGAAATAGTTCAACTGTGCTCGTATAAGTTTCAATTCCAAAGTTAAATAAAAACTACAGGTCCATCAAAACACCTGCATCTCTTAGTATCCTGCTCTTCCTCTCTCTTCTCAGTTACGCAATAAATGCTAAAGCATTAAGACATGAAGAAAAACATGGACATGCACTCAACATTAAATAAGAGTACATATAAACTATTTGTTTGGCTGACCGCAGCATGCACACACCTTGCATGATCTAAAGTCATAAACTGTAACTTGGCACACCGCTTGCTTCTGTAGAGCAGAGTGTGTGTATCTTATTGGAGCTTTCAAGGATCAGAAGAACCCAACAGCATGCTGCCTGCAGCAATATTAACTTTACACTAAGAGGGACGATGCCAGAGAAGAGTCAATGTTTAATGTCCCCCAGAGGCACTTTGGTTTCCAGATTTTAGTCAAAATGATTATTAACACATGAAGAACAATCCTGTATCTACACAATAAATAGAATATATACAGTATAATTAATACAGTATAATGCACAATCAGCCATTGTCACCACGACCGTTTGAGTGAACGCTATGAAAACAAGAGACAACATCAATCCAACAGGTGAATAAACGACGATGATGATACTTCAATACTTTGAAGTTATTCTTGTTATAGCTTCTGATCCACATCAGAAGGTTTATGCATGATTACATTGTCTTTGGTTTTTCACATTCATGCTGCTGCAAACAATGTATTCTTCATTTAAACATATATTAGATGTGTTATTGTAGCGCTCATCTCAAATGTTTCTCCTTTTAACATATGAATATAGAAAAGTACCAGTCGTCACCTGTTTTGGTCTTTGCTGCAATCTGATGAAGGAATTTAGTGGAAACAAGATCGCATTCAACTCAAGAACATCACACTCACAAGGACGATTCCACCAGAGATTAAATATTGATAAACCTCAGGCTGTCTGAACGTTGAGTAGACTTGGCCAAGTTCATAATCAAATCACATTAAAGCAGCCGGTTCACAGATATCTGTAGGAAATCAATAAATATCCAAAATATGAGAAGCGAAGAAGAGAGAAGAACAGAATGAATGAATTATTGTCCGCAAAAATAACAAACGAGGTCACTTTGCTAGCTTGTGGAAATATATTCAATATGTTTCCTCTGACATAACACACAAATATGATCAAATTCAAAAGAATGATCCATTTTAATATTATTTCTAAATTTCATAAACCTTTCAGCAAAGCACATCCAGCAGAGATGGAACAAAATAATCATAAATTTGAAGTTGTGTTTTCGGTTACTTGATGAATGTAAGTCTAACATTCACTCTCTCTTTCTCTCTGTTTGGTCTCCACCAACTCTTAAGCTGCAGCCCCCCCCCCCCCCTTCCCCCCCCCCCCCCCCCCCCCCCCCCCCCAAACCAACATGAGCTGAAAGACGCTAAAACGCTCAGTGAGCCAAGTGCAACTGCAAAGTAGAGCATTAATTGTTCGATTTCCACTTCAAGAAAGGCTTTACATGTTTCCCATTAACAACATAAGAATATTGACTAGTGCATGTTAAGTCAATTGTTTTCAACTCGTTTAGTCTCCATCTAACGCTGTCTAAAGCAGCTTGATAAAGGACGACACAAAGGACGCAAAAGCATATTCGAAGGGTCTTGAATCAATAAGCCAAATTGTCATCAGGGTGATTCAGGCTATTGTAATCTAATCAGCAACCAGAGAAGGACTTGCCTGTGAGTCACCGTGGATGCAGATGAGTCGTTAAATTACATTTTTTTTTCACTTGATACATGCGCGGTGGTGTAGTGGCGAGCACAGACAAGCCATCTACAGATTCAGATGATCGTAAGGCTGTATCTAGACTACATTAGACACACTGCACCCTGAGAGGCTAATTGGAAGGACTGTGTCTGGAGCAGAGGGACATAATGCAAACAGCTAATTGTGTGAACGGCAGTAATGTTGTCCTAAATGTCTAGTGAGTCACCGTCACTGCTCAATGAGGAAAGCCTTCACTTCATTGAGGATACAATAGCTAGAAATCTACTTGGTACTTCCAGACATTTTCACAGACATTTCAAGAAGTTTACTTTGGTGATTTAATGATCTTATAGCATCTGATGAAACTGCTCTTGAATCTATTTACCGTCATGTTGTCATATCAACTACAACTGCACCAATACACCTTATGATCCTGCAGAGCACCTACGTGTGTCTGTTTCCCTCCTTCTCTACTGGAGTCAGGCAGAAGAAAAGGTACCAAAAAAGTTCAGTAAAACTTGTATTTTAAAGAAACAAAAACGTTCATATCAGCCTACAGAATAGTCTAGACTGTAAACCAGGGATATTACAGAGATGTAACCTCCTCTGAGGGTCTTCTAGCTCCGCTCCAATGTAGTCACGCATTTGACATCCTTTAGCTGCAGATTACACTGAAGGGATGAACGGATCCCAGGCTTCCTGCATCATCGCAGGGACGTCCTCCTTATTGTTCCAGATGTTGTCCGACTATTAAAAAGAGCTCTCTCGTGCGCACACGAACATACACTGGCCCACACGCTGCAAGCTTGCACATTTAGCAGCACATATAACAGAAATGTACAAAACATTTGAATATGTAGTGCGATGCATGAAGGTGATTCTTTGAGCTCTCTTTTAAATTGCCATTCTGAATGAATACTATGACATATTTTTCTTAAGAAGCATGAAACGATATTGTACGATGCTCCCGTCCCATCAGATGTACAGTGAACAGCACCCATCTAAGCCCAAGTGTGTCTTAAGTGCAGCTCTTGTGACATGTAGGTTCTTTTGGTCCCTGCATCCTTTGACAGACAGACAACAGACAGCAGACTGAAGGCAAGGCTCCATCAGTGACCCACCTTTACAGCAGAATGTCGCCAACAGGTAAACTCCAATCAATACAGATCCAGTACACTTCCGAGGCTCCATAGCAGCGATGGAGCGGAACTCCCTCTGCAGCCCGCTGGGGATGTCAAACTTCGAGGGAGTGCAGCTTTGTCAGACTGCTGGTGCGCTCTCTCGTTCCACGTTGAGAATCATAAAAGAACCAATTGTGAAAAAAATGAGCTACAGATTTTACCCACTTTCATCTGGATTTGTTTCTCTCTCTCTCTCTCTCTCTCTCTCTCTCTCTCTCTCTCTCTCTCTCTCTCTCTCTCTCTCCCCCCAGACACCCGATGTCTGTCTCCTTGTGTGTCACCTCAAAAGTCACTTTGGATTCCGCTCTCCTCCCCTCTCCCTGTGGTCAGCTGTGTTTTATATCAAACATCTCGAGCGTGTCCTTTGCGCGTTTCCTGTCGCAGCCGTGTGCGTCGATGATGACAGCCACCTGTCCGCTGGCTGCTTCTGCTCAGTGCCGTCAACCTCGTCAAGGTTTGTCCCGTCCAGCCATTTCGGGCTTGTCCTCGTCTGCTTTATAACAGAGGGACGAACACGCGCGCTGGGATCCGCAACAGAGGGCGACATGACCCCGCCCCTTCTAGTTTGGAAAACTTTTTTTACGCATGCAAATGTTTTAATTAAGCATCTGTTCAAACCTTGATCAGCGCATGCTCAACTTGATCATCCGGATGTTGGTGGCATCCCTCAGTCTGTGTTGTGGGAGTGGTGAACCTGATCTCCCTTCCAACCTAGAATATGGATAACGATCGTCTGTCACTGCTCATCAGTGTCCTCTTATCCTCCTACAGGTGGGAAGGAATCTACTGCAACTGAGCAACAATAAAGCTTTTGCACTCTGCTGTTTTTCCTCATCAAGTGTTCCTCCCCTCCTTCTTTTTGATTGTCCTCTCCTCTTATACTGTTTCTCACCTCCATTTTCAGTCATAATCTGCACCTTCTCACCCATTCATTTAACTGAACTGTTAAGCATCGGTTAGTGGTTCTCCAGCCTGCTGATCAGGTGCCCATGACTCATGTGCATGAATGTCTTTCTCTTGCCATGCCACCTGCTGCATACTGCGCATGGCAGAAGATAGAGTATTTTCAAGTTAAATGTCTTTAGACTACCCTGGAATTGTGCTTATTTTAGTACAAGAACATTTATGATATTTTGAGTTACAAGCATTTTTTGGTGATGAATTAAGTCGATAAATAATTGCATGTTTGCATGTACCACTGGGTCCATCTCAATCAATGTGGCAGCTGTCCAGTGTTGTGAATTTTGGTGCAGGTGGCCAGTTGATGCAGCCTGAGCTTCAGTGTGGCGCTGTCAGTGGGAAGGGAAACATCTTCAGGGCAGCACATTTTACACCTCCAAGACATGAGATGGGAGTATTAGTGTGTGTTTGTGTGTGTGCAGTCAGTATGCGGTCTCATTAGCTTATATGGAGATGCTTCCTGGCGTAGGTTCCTGGGAGTCCAGATGCTGGAGGATGAAGTGGAGGGCCAAGTTGACTGTGTCGTCTACAGACCTTTTGGCTCTGTAGGCGGACTGCAGGGGGTCCAGGAGTGGGTCTGTGACGGTTCCCTATCTGGGTTACTTGTGTATGTTCCTTTAAGCCAGCAGGTACCGGATGTGGTGATCACCCTAAGTGGAGGCACCTGGGCCCGGTGCGCTTCCACTATAAGGCTCCGCCTTCCTGGCAACCAGTGGCGCTCTACTATCGCCCCGTGGAGGAACAAGGACGGCTCGTTCGCAACCACCATTGCCAGTAAGATACCTTGTTAGGTCTAATAAACTCTTTACTTTTGATCAACTGTCTGCGTCTCCCTGAGTAGGTCATGGCTGTCAGAGCCAGGTCGTGACAGGGTCGGTGAGGGTTTTAAGGTGGGACAGGACAAGGCGCTCAAAAGACTTCACAGCCACAGAGGTCAGGGCGAAGGGCCTGTAGTCATTAAGTCCTGTGATCCTTGGTTTTTTGGGGACGGGGATGATGGTGGAGGCCTTGAAGCAGGCTGGTACGTGCATGCCTCCAGGGAGGTGTTGAAGATGTCTGTGAACACCGGAGACAGCTGATCAGCACAATGCTTCAGGGTGGAGGAGGAGACAGAGTCACAGACAGAGTCACAGTCACCTTTGCGTCATTGTCTTAATGCTCTTCTCACTCCTTCTTTTGTCCTCTTATTCACTCATTCACTGACTCTCACTTCCACTCCAGTTTTCTCCTTTCTTTTACCATCTGCTATACCCACTCATTCATTGTTGATCTTCCCGTCTGTCTTCTCTCCTCCTCCTCCTCAACCTTCCATCTCTCTTCTCCCCCTCTGTTTCCTCTCCTCCACTTCTCTGCCCTGTACTCTCGCAGTTCTGCCTGTGAGCATCAGATGCGGTGATGTCCTCAGACCATTATGAGAGTGCCTGCAGCGCTTCTCTCACTCTCACTATCTATCACTCTCCCTCTCCCGGTTGCTTCAGTCTCAATCTTCAGTGTGTGGACCCCTGTCTGTTTCTGTCTGCCGCCGGCTTTAGTCTGGACACAGTGCTGTGCATGTATGTAGACTGCCATCGGGTCACATTAAATAAATGTCCTTTGGGATGAGCCTGCAGGGATTGGAGTTGGTACGGTGTGTGTGTATTTGTGAAAGTGTTTTTCTCCATGTGCACCTGTTCATTTACTGTGAAGTCCTGTATACTAGATTAGGGCTGTCTCTTGTAGTCCCTTTACTACACATATATGAACATATACACAGAAACCCAGATTCCATTACATTAATGTCATAAACATGTAAACAACATCTGAAGCATGATCACCAAGCATGGCTGGACATGTAGGTCTAGGTTTATGTCACTGAATATGTTTCAGCATACTTTACCATGTTAAGCCTTACCGTAGATACATTTATTTACACAGGAGTATGAGCAGAGTAGGCTTGTCTTAAAATCCATAACCAATAACAGTCAATGTACCTCTCAACGTAGCACAAGAGCTAATCCTTCTCTTTGGCCTCTCGTTACATTTCTTCACTTGTATTTCTCTTCTGTCTAAGCGAAACACATCAACCCAAACTTTAACTTAGACGGTCTACTCTCATGACAGACGACATAAAAACTGACAATCATGATCAAATCAGGCTGTGTTTTCTTTGAGAGGCAGTATCACACCTAGAGACAGGAGAATAAAGGCTGGCAGTGGAGCATGCTTTGCACGACCTAAAATGACCATATGACGCTGTTCGTGTTACTGTCTGAGTCATGTACTTGGGAAGTACTCACACACACACAGTTTGTATATGTGATGCTATAAGTTATAGCACAGGTGATACAGTAGTCGTATTGCTTTGGTCTCTGGCAGTTCAATGAGTAACTGAATGCATGATCAGCTCTCTCCCAGAACCACATCGCCAGGACCCAACTTTGTAACTTCCCATGATGTTCAACCAGAGGCTGCTTCATGAAGAATGACACTGACCTTATGGAGAACGTGTGTCTTTTAGCCTCTCCATCCACATGAGCTTCAATGTTTCAACAGTGATGACAGATGTGAAGCAGAGAATTTTGTTTTTCTACCAAGAAATTCCCCAGGGTGCTACCCTGATCAGCTTTTCAATCTTTTCATGTGCATTGCTACTGGAGCTGTACACAAGAATCACTGCAAATCCCACGTCAATACTAAAATAAGGCAGCACTGTACACTCTCTGAATTTTGCCTAGACTAAGCTTTTATTGTGTATTTTAAGTCTGTGTTTCTGTCAAGCAATGTTCAATACTTCAATATTCAACACCTGATATACAGTATGAATATCATTAGTTGGTATAATGGTATATATTGGATTCAGACTGCAGCAGATAGTTAAGTAAACTGTGTCCACTCAGATGGATTAGGTTGCCCTATGGCATAATACTGAGAGTCTGTACAGAGTATTACCATCAAAGTATACATGCAGTTATTATTGCAGTCGATAAGCACTTCTGGTCTTTTATATAAGCCGCGCTATCTGTCTGGCTGGGGAGAGTATTGACGTTGTGCCTTCTGTTTGCCAGACTCAAACGTCTCCTCAGCTATTGCACGGATTGCAGGAACGTTTGAACATTTATGGTCCTCAGAGGATGAATGCTACGGACTTTGGGGATCCTCTGACTTTTCATCCAGTGTCACTAGCAGAGCTTTACTTATACTGTAAAAATACCATATACCTTCTACTAGATGGATTTGCAAAAAATATGTGTTGGATTTCCATGAAATTTAGTATAAACATTCATGTTCTTCTCAGAGTGACTTTGGCGATCGCTCAGCTTCCCATCTAGTGCCATACGTTATTTTTATCCAAAGACCTGAAATCTTGTTTAGAATCCTGAGGGGTTCACACCCTGCTCTGTCACAGCCCATCTGTGACACACACACACACACACACACACACACACACACGATTTGCCCTTCTTGTGAACTCTCATTCCGTCACACCCAAATAAAGAGATACTGACTCACACACACACACACACACACACCTGTCTGCCTGAGTCAGATCTGTAGCTGTGAATAATAGAAGAGTGGGCTGAGGTCAGACTGTTCAAGTGCAGGGAAAACAATGGAGATACTTTCACTTAAGCATCCCAGACATTTTTAATAAGTCAGAGAACAAACTCATGTCTCTCTAGAACTAGGCCAAAGCACACAAGGCAGTGGTATCACCAGGCACTGCCACTTGTGACGAAAGCCCGAAGGCTAAAGTTGCAGCAGCTAATAACCGGAAGGTTGGCGGTTCAAACAGACAAACTCAGCCAGCTGGGAAAATAAGTGCGTAGAAAAGGAGCGAGCCACTGTCTCCACTTGTAACAATATGATGATGTGCCCTTTAGCAACGCTGACAACTCAGGGAAGCTTAAGTATAGCTGCTGAGAAGGGTGTAACAGTATAATGTGACCTATACCCCACCACTACAAATATGGGCTTGAATCTCAACAAAGAGTCAACATTTTGAGCTTCATAGAGTATCTGCTGTTTCTAATCTCAGCGGACAGATTTGTATTCTGTTGTGCTCTTTCTTATCTGCACTGCTCTGTTGGATATTGATGACACCTGCTCATCCGGGTAGAAACTGTGAATGAAGATACATCATTAGTCATTAAAATATGCACCATGGCATCCTGATAGGTAATGCGTTAACTTCCTATTTGTGTGCGCATATATACTATATCTGAAATACTTTTTATCACATCATTAAAGTCTGTAAAACAAACTCACCTGTTTAAAAGGATGTTTGCTGCCGTTTAGTGGTGATACTGTGTCATTACAGCCAAAGACCCAACATGCTTGCTCCACTGCATACAGGGCCTGATTAACCCTTCAGTACAGTGAACAAGGAAGCATTCTTTTTGTATTGTGTTTTACTTAGTATTTAACAAGCAAGCACAATAGCACAATCAAAATAAGCGATCAAGGCAGTGGTAGACCAGCAGCTCCTGTGTTCTGCATGGTAAACTCACTGTTTTTGTCAAAGGAGTCTTGTGGCTTTGAAAAGAGCAGACAACGGCTTCAGTTGTCCATATATCCCTTTAAGCACCAGAACATTTAATTGTCTGATGCTTTTGTGTTGAACCCAGTATTAACAAACAAGAACTTCGCAGTTAATCAAATGAACACAAACAGACTCTGCCAGGTTGAAATCATTAAGTTAGCCTCAAAGCAGAACTGGAAAAATGATGTGGTACATTTGATTTCTTTTAATTATCATCATCATTACAGCATTCACAGCTGGCTGGACAACATGGATTGATATACTGCATGTTGTTGCATGTATACTTACAATGTTAGAGTTAAACAAACATGGATAATCAAATCATACTATAATGCTTATTGCTTTCATTCCTCTGCACTCCCGTGCATGCACCTCACAATGAATAACAAGTTGCATCTAACACTACAGTTCAACGAGTCTTTACAAAATGCAAACCATAGTTCAGAACTACTCGAAAATAAATAAACAGTGTGAATGTTTTTTTGAGTTTCATCATTAAGTCGCTGTCATGAGTATTCATGAGTTTGTGTGTGTGTTCATCAAGGTGTGCTGTAGAACATTTGCAGAGCAGGGGTGAAGATTAGGACAGTTCCCATTATTGCCACTGTGAGGAAAGCCCACAAGAAAATCCTGTCTAACACCTGAGCCACGAACTTCCAGTCTTGAACAACCTGAATGAGACAGAGAGAGAGACAGAGAGAGAGAGAGACAGAGAGAGAGAGAGAGAGACAGAGAGAGAGACAGAGAGAGAGACAGAGAGAGAGACAGAGACAGAGAGAGAGACAGAGAGAGAGACAGAGAGAGAGACAGAGACAGAGAGAGACAGAGAGAGAGAGAGAGAGAGAGAGAGAGAGAGACAGAGAGAGAGAGAGACAGAGAGAGACCGAAACAACAGAGACAGAGATAGAAGAGAAAGGTCCACAGGTGTGAATCTGTGTCAACCTCATGCATTCTTCATTAAGGACACAAGAACTACTTTGTGTCATTTTGAGCAAATCAGATTAATTCAACAAATAATAAACTGTAACAGTATAAACTAGAATTACTCCTCCACCTCTCAAATGTCATCAATTCATCATTTCTTTCTAACAAACATTTGTATGAAATTGTCAAAATTAGGATATGAAATCTTAATATGTCCAAAACCAGGACCGTGACCTTTGTTTGAATTCTAATCAGTTTTGTGAAATATTTGAAGAAATTCCCTCCAGGTCTCCCTGAAATATTGTGTTCACAAAAATGGGACACAGAAAACCCGAAAACATAATGCCTCAGGCCATGGCTGTCGCCGGCACAGAGGCATACAAAAGAGAATGTAAAACAACCACACACCTCTCGTATGAAATGCTCCTTTTTGATGTGACGGCTGATGTAGCGAACTGAATTTGTGGCTTTCTCCAGCATGGCCAGCCAGGCTTGGTTCTCGTCCTCCTTCCCTGCGAGGGGGCCTCTCTGCTGACCGCCACTGTGGCCAGGAGCCCCCCTCCTCCCCACACCTTTACGGGTCTTCAGCTCCGGGCTGCGCATCTCCATATCGGCAAAGTGGAATCTGAGGTAATTGACACTAACTGTTTTATTTTTTTGCACATTTATCTTGTAATGTATATTGGCAGATATTATACGAAGAGTTCAACATTTCTGGAAACATATTTATTTGCTTTCTTGCCAAGAGTTAAATTGATACCACTCTCATGTCTGCATGCTAAATATGAAGCTGGCACCAGGAGACTGTTAGCTTAGCATAGAATAAAGACTGGAAACAGGCGTATCAGCTAGCCTGGCTCTGTCAAAAGGTAACAAAGATGGCTACCTCAAAAGGTTGCCAAGTAGCAAATTATATCTTTTTGTTTGTTTTACCCAAACAAACAAAAAAGTGTCAAAACGACAATTAGCTTTTCCCCGAAGGCTGCATTTGTTGGCCAGGGCCAGTCACTTCTCTCTCTTATAGTTATGCTAAGCTACGCTAATCTTCTCCTCTAACTCTTGAACAGAAAGCAAATTAGCATTTTTCTCAAACTGTAGACTCATTCCTTAAACTGCAGTTGGTCCTATATTACCTGTCAGTGTGCCCCCTCATACACAGCAACCTGGGCAGTCTCTGGAGGAACAGGCTCTTTACCCAGGGGGCCATGGGGTGGTAGGTGGCAGAGGAACGATGGTGGACGTTAATGACAAAGACGGTGACGATGATGGAGAAAGTGACAAAGATCATGATGAAGAGCAGGTATTCTCCAATCAGTGGGATCACCTGGGGACAAAAAGTTGTAAAGGTTACTGAATCAGTTTAACAGCTGACTGTTTGAACTATGTGTTATTTCAGCAGGAAGTAAGTAATGTCGATTAGTTTCTAGCGGTTTGTTAAATTACACATATTCACTGAGACTAAGGAAACAGCTGTGCAGCTCAGTCACAGTGGTGCAAGCAAAGTGCTAACATTATATTAAATAGTGTTAATATGCTGATGTTTAATGGTTCTTAGTTTAGCATGTTAGCATTTTAATGTTTGCCAATTAACATTAAACATAAAGTACAGCTGAGGCTGATGGGAACCTCATTAGTTTTGCAGGTAATTGCTCGGAGACCAAAGTATTGGAAAATCTTGTCCTCAAGATGGCCGAGATGAAAAGTTAACCACATTTATTTGAAGTTACCCTGTCGAGACAGGAATCCATCCAACGGCTGTCAAGATATTTCACTCACAAATAAAAAGGTCAACTTCACGTTAACACTAAAGGTCAGGAAGATTCATTGTTTCGAAACCATCAATGTCTTTGACTGTCTGGTGGCACGAGATGAAATGTCGGGATCACTGAAGTAATTTAAATACGTCCTCTACAGAACTATTGACTGTTCAGTACTTTTTACGTTGAATTTTAGTATGATTTTATATAAAAGAATATAGCACAGTTGATAACGGTGGTCTGGAAAAGTCAGTGATTTTGGATGCAGTCATTGTATTTTGGAGCTCTGTCGGCTTCTGTATTGGACCGAGATGTAGCTGACGTCACTAGCTTCTTACAGTAATTGAGTTGACATGCAGTTTAAGCTGCAGGTAATTGAGAGGGCTGTGTTGTGATCTGGAAATAATGCAATTAAGATTACAATTAAGATAACTGAACACAGGAAAAAGTCAGATAGATTGAAAAATTGAAACCCAGTAGCAACTTTAAAATGAACAAAGACTTAGATGTAACCCCCCAGAGGAAACCCACCTTTGAAGATGAAGGGATGATTTCTTCTATGACAAGGAGGAACACAGTGAGCGACACCAGCACAGACGTGGAAAGTGACAGTTTCTCTCCTTCGTCGGATGGCAAATAAAACACCAGCACAGTTAGAAAGGAGAGGCCGAGGCATGGGATGATGAGAAAGAGGGTGTAGAACAAAGGCAATCTCTTGAGGATGAAGGAGTAGGTGAGAAACGGGTACCAGTACACCTCATCCCTCCTGCTTCCCCTTTGTCCTGTTGCATTCAGGATCTCCCACTCCCCGTTATCGAAGAAGTCTTTACGGTCCACATAGTGATCCACTAGGACCAGGTCCACCATGTTTCCATCGTAAGTCCAGGAGCCGAACTTCATGGAGCAGTTCTGACGGTCAAAGGGGAAGAAGGTGACGTCCATGGTGCAGGAGGATTTGTAGCTGGCTGGTGGAGTCCATGTTATGGTGCCATCCCAGCGCACAATGGCTTTGGTCATCAGAGAACCCTCAAAGCGACCGTCCGCACTGGGAGAAGATGAGAAAGACATAAGGTGGTCAGGAACATTAACACACACACCATCGTATTGTCTGATACAAATATGACCTAAGATCAAATGGAGACTAGACACGGGACAATAATGACATCCCTGTTACCCAGAAACCATCACTCCATATCTGTACGTGACAAAAATATCCAAAAAATAAGTGATTATTCACTCAATTGAATAGCTCTTTATAGTTTAGTTTAGACTATTTTACAAAGAAGAAAAGTAAACTATGGTGGAGATGAGTTTGCCATTTCAATGAAATATATGGCAAATTGCACCATTTTAAAGTAAATACTACATTTTTGATCAGAGGTGTATTTTCTAGGTGGCAGTCACAATCACCCTAAAAGCCCATTCTTCAGTCGTCACATTGTTGGAGGGCCCGCTCTCTCTATGGGCCCCCTCACCCCACAGGCCCCAGTGCAACCTCACTGCCGGCACTGTCTATAGTTACAGCCCTGGTGAGATGTTGAAAGCATATCCATAAGGAAAGGGAAATTGATGTAAATGCATCAGAGTCATCAGGAAGTGCCTCAGGATGTGGTACTGATGTGCACAGAGTGCTGCATAACTCACTTTTCATACAGGACAATATCAGGCAGCCAAATAGTCTCTGAAGGCACTCTGATGGAGGTAATGCCCCCATAGTCATCTGGGTTCCACTTCAGCTTCACGTCAACCCACTCCTTTGAATACATAAATAACACTGCATGATAAGTAACATCATTTGACACGAGACTTAAGAAAGCTTAATTAAGTGCATCTTTTTCATTTCAGCACCATGGACAGCACCAGACTGTTAACTGCACAAAGCAAATGGAAACTATGTTTTTTATTGCATCATTGTCCCTAGTTTGCTTGTTGCCTTGTCAATGTCCATATCTGTTGTTGCCATAACGTTTTATTGTTGATACCCTCAATGTTTGGTTTTATGTACCAGGGCCTACCAAGAAGAACGGTTAAGGATGCTTTAAACAATCAACATAGGAGTAGAAAGTAAATAATAAGACTTATTTATCAAGCATCTTATATGCTCTAGTCTAAGCCAATCAGAGACAAGGAATTACCCTTCATCTGCCATGTGTTGCATTTCTTTAGAAATCCTTACATTTAAATCAATGAATATCTGCAAAAGAAATATGTGATTTCATTTAGATGTTTCTGAATCAATGTTATTTGGGTATTTTTTAATATCTCCAGCAGCAATTATCATGTTACGTTTACAAGAATGTATCAATCTAACTAGAGCACTTTTAAATATCAATCATAAATTTCACTTCTAGCAGTTTGATAAGTGCAGACACAGATTGTATGTCTCTTCACATTGCACTTATAGAAATGTGTATATAAAAAATACTTACATACCATTTGTTAACGATACATTAATTGTCTTTCAGTGAAATTATACACCAAAAAATATGTGACATTTAAATCTTATATTGTCTACCACAGCATATTGCAGCTAATGAATCATACTACATGTTTATCAGACTGTTCAAAATGAACTGATCACAGCCGATCCCCTCCAGTCATTGAGCACACTGAGCAAATTCACACATGTTAAAATACCACCTAACAATTTAAATATGCAGTTTTGGAGACAGTAGCATTGATTTGTACCTGCCAGAGCCAGACATTTGTAGTCATCAGTTGGTTCTTTTCATCCTGCAGGAAGACAGGGAAGACATGTTGTTCACTATTTGTACATCTTTGTGGTGCTTAATATGAAAGAGCAGAGATGCTAATGAGAAGGTGAGGAGCAAACCAGAATCTGGAAACAAAAGGTTGAGTGGGATGAAAAAAAGAACTTAGTGAAACAGAAATATATATATTTTTAAATGGGATAATTGCTTCTCTTGCTTGCTGCTACGAAAGCACACTGAAACAGCTCAGGGGTTAAGTGCCTTGCTTCAGGGTACATCTACAGAATTTAATGAGCGAGAGAAGCAAAAGATACTCAGTGATCAATATCTCTGGCAATACTTAGGCACAGCTGCCTCGTTTGTTCAATACAGATTGACATGTAAAGTACAAAAAACTAAAGAGGAAGGCACGGAGAGGAGTCAAAAGACAGGAATGACTTTCTGGAAGTCAGTTAGGTTTCAATATAAGCTGTTGAGTTTCTGTACAGTGAAAGCCTTAAAGAAACATAACAAGTTAAACTACAGAAGATAGAACATCTATGGAATAGACTGAAGTAGTTTGTCTGCTCATGAGAGGCGCTGAGGCAAACCTGATTACATATTCATCTACTCTGAATAAAAATGGATCTGAGGGTTTTTTGTTTTTATAAACCACAGTAATTTAGCTAGAATACCACAAGATGGCAGTCTTCTAAATTTTAATTTTGCATGGCAGAATGTGACCTCTGTGGAGTTGTGGGAGCAGCTTTGTGTGTGTGTGTG